AAGGGCGAGGACTTAACCACTTGCGCCACCGTGCCGGGCCCAGTTTCTCCATTTTTCAAAGTCTTTTTCTATTTCCTTTTTTAATGTTTTGTAGTTTTTGTCACAGAGGTCTTCCACATATTTAGTTAGCTTAATTCCTAGGTATTTATTTAGTTTTTTTAAAAAAGATTTATTTATTTTTATTGGAAAGGCAGATGTACAGAGAGGAGGAGAGACAGAGAAGAAGATTTTCCATCTGATGATTCACTCCCCATGTGGCCGCAACAGCTGGTGCTGCGCCGATCCAAAGCCAGGAGCCAGGAACTTTGCAAGTCTCCCACGTGGGTGCAGGGTCCCAAGGCTTTTGGCCATCCTCGACTGCTTTCCCAGGCCACAAGCAGGGAGCTGGTTAGGAAGTGGAGCTGCTGAGGTTAGAACCGGCGCCCATATGGGATCCCGGCACATTCAATGCGAGGACCTTAACCATTATGCTATTCCACTGGGCCCTAATTTCCAGGTATTCAACATTCCTCTCTAAAGGGGACTGTACTTTCTCACCCATGGAATTATTTGTGTACACGAGTGCCATCAGCTTGTGTTCATTAATTTTGTATCCTGCCACCCTGCCAAAATCTCTTATGAATTCCAATAGCCTCTTGACTGAGTCTTTTGGTTCTCCTATGTGGAGAATCATGCCATCTGCAAATAGAGATAATTTCATTCCCTCTTTTCCAATTTGTATTCCTGTAATTCTTTTTTCTTGCCTAATAGCTCCGGCAAGGACTTCCAATACTATATTGAAGAGTAGCGGTGACTGTGGACAGCCCTGTCTAGTTCCAGATTTGAGTGGGAAGGCTTCCAATCTTTCTTCATTTAGAATGATGCTGGCATGGGGTTCTTTGTAAACTGCCTTGATTGTGTTGTAGAATGTTCTTTCTATGCCTATCTTGCTTAGGGTTTTCAGCATGAAGTGATGTTGGATTTTATCAAATGCCTTCTCTGCATCTTTTGAGACGACCGTATGGTTTTTATTTATCGATTTGTTGATGTGATGTGTCAGTCACATTTATGGATTTGGGAATGTTGAAGTATCCCTGCATGCCTGGGATGAATCCCACCTGGTCCGGGTGATGTGTTGTTGGATCCTGCTGGCTAGTATTGCGTTTATGTTCATCGAGCATATTGGTCTGTAGGTCTCTTTTTCTGTTGTTTCTCTATCTGGCTTTGGTGTTAAGGTGATATTGGCTTCATAGAAAGAGTTTGGAAGGATTGCCTCTCTTTCTATTGTTTGGAAAAGCTTGTGGAGGATTGGGGTCAGTTCCTCTTGGGACATTTAGTAGAATTCAGCAGTGAAGCCATCTGGTCCAGGACTTTTCTTGGTTGGGAGGGCTTTAATGACTGATTCGATCTCCATACATGCTATTGGTCTATTTAGATTGTTAGTTGCTTGTTGATTCAATTCTGGGGGATTGTATGTGTCCAAAAAAATCTATCCATCTCTTCTAGGTCTTCTGATTTGTTCTTATAGAGTTGCTTGTCATAGTTCCCAATAATTCTTTGTATTTCCAAGATATCTGTTGTTATATCTCCTTTCTCGTCTCTGATGCCATTGATGGGTATTTTTCCCTCCCCCCCCCTTTTTTTTGATTAGTTGGGCTAGTGGGGATACTGTTTTTTAAAAAATTTTCTCAAAGAACCAGCTCTTTGATTCATTGATCTTATGTACAGTTCTCTGGGTCCCTGTTTGGTTTATTTCCTCCCTTATTTTGATGAGTTCTTTTTTCCTACTAATCTTGGGATTGCTTTGCTGTTGTTTTTCTAGTTCCTTCGACTGTAGGGTTAGCTCATCTACTTGATGACTTTCTAATTTCTTAACATAAACACTGATTGAAATGCACTTTCCTCTTGACACTGTCTTGATTGTGACCATGAATTTTGATATGGTGTGTTGATGCCTTTATTTGTGTCAAGCAATTTTTAAATTTCTCCTTTGATTTCCTCTCTGATACATTGCTCATTGAGTAACATATTATTCAGTCTCCATGTGTTTGTAAGTCTTCTTGGGTGTTTTGAGTTCTTGGTCTCTAGCTTCACTCCATGATGGCCTAAGAATATGCATGGTTTAATTTCGATTTTTAAAAAATTTTTGCTGAGGCTCGTTTTGTGACCAATAACATGGTCAATTCTGGAGAAGGTTCCTTGCAGCAATGAAAAAAAAGTGAATTCTCTATCTATAGGATGAAAGGTTCGATAGATATCAACTAAGTCCATTTGCCCTAGAGTTTGGGTGAGTTCTGTTGTTTCTTTGGTGAATTTCTGGCCATTGATGTGAAAGGGGTATTAAGGTCCTCCACTGTGATTGTATTGGAGTCTATTTCTCCCTTTAAGTCCATCAATGTTTGTTTCGTATACCTGGTGCCTTGGCATCTGGTGCATATGCGTTGATTATGTTGCTGTCTTCTTGCCGAATGGATCCCTTGGTCATTATGTGACATCCTTCTTCAGCTCTTTTAACGTTTTTCACACCAAAGTCTATGTCATCTGATGCAAGAATGGCTACCCCTGCACGTTTTTCCTTACCATTCACTTGGAATATCTTTTTCCATCCTTTCGCTTTCAGTTTCCTCTGATCTTTGCTAGTGAGATGTGTCTTCTAAGCAGCAGATGAATGGGTTTTGTTTTTTGATCCATTCCTTTTATCTATGGCATTTTGGCATTTAAACCATTTACATTCAATGTTAATATGGATAGGTGACAATTTGGTTCTGTCATCTCAGTAATGTGGTGTTCTTTGGTTGAGTCTTCTGTTGGCCTTTTAGTGGGATGTCTTCCACATATGCCTGTGGCTTTGGTGGCTGCTGTTCCTTTTCTCTGGATGGCTGTGTTCTTTGCTCCTTCAGCCTCTCACTCATTCACCTCTTAGAGAAAGCACCGGGTGACAGCAAGCCAGGACCTTCTCCTCTCACCTGTCTCCCCTTTGCTTCATGTCCACAGGACAAAGTCCAAGCAAAGAAACCCATAGTGTTTGAACAAAACAGGATTTTTCCTCTGCCTCCAGGGTCACAACCCCGCCGCAGAGCAGTGAGAAGCAGAGCAGCAAGCAGGAGAGCGTGTGACCACACCAGCCTGCTCTACCAGAGTTGCATGCAAGTGCCTGCTCCCAGTTCCCCTCTGCCTGCTGCATTCGCTTTTACAGCTATTTCAGTGGAAGAGTGTACCTCTTCCAGAACACACGTCCTCTGTGGAGGTGGAGACATTGGACAGGGAGAAGCGATTTTTTTTTTTTATTGGATGCTTCGATATTTGAATGAGTGAATCAAGTACACCAGCCACCTCCAGAACACCAGTGAGTGCTCTCGGTGTTGCCAAGGGAGGTGCTGCGGGCTGGACTGACTGTGCACACTGTGACAAAGGCTTCAAGCTGAGCAGCATCATTGTTGCTGCTGCCACCTCCTGGGTGTTCTGCATGTGTCATGGTAAGTGGAACAGGTGGTCATGAGTGAGTGTGGTGATGCCAGGCTGGCAAGCAGCCAGGATGGGGCTGGCACCTTTCACACTATCGGTTGACAGCATACAATGCCTTGACAAACTTGTTCTGTAAGTGTTGCCATGTCTCTATGTTTTTTTTTTTTTTTTAATAAAAATAGTACTGTCTTTGAACAAAATAATAAAATAAACCTTAGATTTGTCTGGCATGAAGTGCTTTGAACTCTGAAACCATGAGCACCAGTGGAGGCCAGAGTCAAGTCCAGTCTGGCTCACTGCAGACCCAGTGCACACCAATGCAGAGAGACTGCAGCCATGTCCAGCCCACATCACCGTGCCCATTCCCGCCCTTGTGCTCTCCAATGGGAACCACAACCCAGCCTGGGTGTCCCCTTAGCTCCCCAACCAGGCCTGTTCCCAGCCACACATCCTGTGCATAACAGTGATTGCCCTGACCTGGCTCGGCATAGCCCTTCCCCGGTCTAACCTCTTGCCATCTGGTGCTGAAACCTGACCTGGCCCTGCCTGCCCCCAGTCCCCACTCTGGCTGGCAGGTGCTGCGGCCTCACCCAGCATAGTCTGCTTCCTCCTCCAACTCTTACCAACTAAGACATGTGATAACCTTGCCCGGCATAACCCGCACTCCAGCCTGGCTCCTGTACTTGCCAGGGAGCTCAAGTTGGCCTGGCCCTGCCCTGTCTGCCCCTCTCCAGAAACAAGCCACACACCAGCTAGCTGGTGCAGCTGCCACACCTAGCCTGCCCAACACCCAAGCCTGCATCACATGCTCACCAGCGAGAGCTACGGCCTAGCCCACTTCTCACACAGCCCAGGTCGTGCCTGCGACAGGATGGGAAGGTTCAGTGTTTAGCAAAAAGCACGTGATGGGTGACGAGAGGATTTTGGGGACGGACAGTGAGAATGGTTGCATAAGGGCGACCTGCACAAATGTAGCTGGATGGCATGATTTGATATGGCTGAACAGTTTTTTTTTAATTAATTTTTTTTAATTTCAAAGTCAGCTACACAAAGAGAGACAGAGAGGAAAATCTTCTGTCCGATGATTCACTCCCCAAGGGGCCACAATGGCTGGAGCTGAGGCAATCTGAAGCCAGGAGCGCGGCTGCATGTCTCCAAGGCTTTGGGAAGTCGTCCACTGCTTTCCCAGCTGCAAGCAGACACTAGATGGGAAGCTGGGCTGCTGGGATCAGAACCATCACCCACATGGGATCCCAGCACTTTCAAAGCAAGGACTTAAACAGCTAGGCCAGATTTGAGAGAACTGTTATGTTTGTCACAGCAATGATTTGATACAAAGGTCATCCCTAATCCCAAGAAGAAAAAAAAACAAACCGTGTTTGCACTTGAACACATAATTTGCTTTACTGTAGGGGGTGTAGCTGGAGGTGGGCGTGGTCAGCTGGTGCCAACAGAGCCCAGGGTTGGGCTGGAAGCTGGAGGCAAGACCAGTTCCAGATAAAACTCTGCTGACCGCGGTGTCCCCTGCTCCAGTTGCAGGTCTGGTGCTGGCCGCCATGGAGTCCAGGTGGGATGTGCTGAGCGCGCTGGGGGCCGTCACCTGCGTGTGGCTGCTGCTGCAGGTCGTGTGGGCGGTGGCCCGTGGAGTGTACGTCTACCTGCTGCCCCAGGTTCGCCGTGGTGCCCCGTGGCTTCGCGCACAGGGAGCCTGGGCAGGTGAGAGTGAGGGCATTGTCCCAAGCCCGGTGGTGTGAGGACACAGGAGTGAGGACGGGAGGCAGGTGAGGGACCCTGAATGGGGCATGGATGGGGAGACTCCTGGAAGAAGAGGTGAAGGCTGGGAGATGGCCCCTGTGCAGGAGAGGGAGCAGGGGTGAGGGAGCAGTCAGATGGAGGCTGCTGAGGGCAGGAGGAGGGAAGGAAGGTATCAGGAAAGCTGGAGGGGCAGGAGGGAGGCTGGAGGGGCAGGAGGGAGGGTGGAGGGGCAGGAGGGAGGGTGGAGGGGCAGGAGGGAGGGTGGAGGGGCAGGAGGGTGAGTTGAAAAGACAAGAGATAAGGAGGGAGCATGCTGAGGAGATGGGGGGCAGAAGGGAAGGAGGGGCAGGAGGGTGCTTGGAGAGCCAGACTGGGGGAGGAGTGCTGGTCTTTGCCCACCTGCTTATCTTCTCTCCCCTCTAGTGGTCACTGGAGCCACCGGAGGCATTGGCAAGGCTTATGCCCACGAGGTGAGCCAGCCGGGTGTCCTCGGTGTGTGTGGCATGGCAGGCTCCTGCAGGCTGTGTCCAAGGTTGCCCCGCTGGATGCGAGCCTGGCTTGATCTGCTCTTCAGAAGGGCCAGGCCTCTGCTGTCTTCCCAGGTGCTCCCCTGGTCTCCCACTGTTCCCTCTCACCTATGCTGTGCCCACTGTCTGCCCGGGCAGCTGACATGCCAGGTGAGGTGCCCATGACCCATGTGGGAGTGCACAGGCCAAGTATCTGCCTCTTAACTCATCTTTCCACAATGCCTAAGTAGCTGAGGCTGAGCCAGGACAAAGCCAGGAGCCAGGAGCTTCATCTCAGGCTCCCACATGGGGAGCAGAGGCCCCAGCACTTGGGCCATCTTCCACTGCTTTCCAGGGACAACAGGCAGGAGCTGGGTCAGATGTGGAGCAGCTGGGAATCGAACCAGCGCCCCCAGGGACACCAGCATGACAGGTGGCAGCTGAAGGTGCCCTGCACAACAAGCTCCAAGTAACCATTCTGGAGTACTGCGACTAGTGCAGTCAGCATGTGGTACACACAACAGAGCGCTTGAGTTGATTGTCCCCCAACTCTCTAACCGTTGACCCACATCTCTCCTGAGTACTCCACCCCATCCTGCAGCCCCAACACCCACCATTCTACTCCCAGACTCCAACCTCTGACTTTCTTATGCATTTATTTTTAATTCCCCGCCCTCCTTTACTTCAAAGATGGACAGAGACTGAGACACCTTCCACCTGCTGCTTCGCTCTTTAATGCCAGCAAGTCAGGCCACAGCCAGGAGGCCCGACCTGATGCAGCAGCACTATGGGGTGGCAGGGCCCCAGGACTCGTGCCAACACATGCTTAGGCTCAGGTGTGTTACCTGAGAGACTCGCAGGCTGAGAGAGAGAGGGTCCTCCAAAGCAGGATGGGAAATGAGACGCAGAGCTTGGTTAATTTCAGTGTCCAGAATGTTAGCAATCCATGCCAACCCAGAGTCTTCAGAGAGCTTGTGGAAGAGGTGTTTCAGGAAAAGACTGGCTAATTCCAGGATTGTGGGCAGTGCCAAGTGGCCCAGGGCCAGCCCATCGGCAGGTGCAAAGCAGAGTGTTTGTGGAATGGATGAGAGAGAGAGAACCCTGATACCATGAGACTTGCCACACTGCCAGCACCTGCTCTCAGCCATGCTGACACACACTCGATTCCAGGACACGTTACCCGCACATGAAGGGCACCTGCTCCACCACCTGCTGCCCTCCTGGATGTGCAGGAACCCAGGAGCTGGACCCAGGAGCCGAGCTGGGCCTTGAGCCCAGGCTCTCTAGTCTGGAACGAGGGCGCGTGGGGCATGCCTTACCCAGCCAGCTCACAACCACTGTCACCGCACCTCCCAAGCAGCAGAGCCAGGGCCGCTGGTGCTGTGGGAGGGACCAGTGGCCACTGAGTGGAGGGTGATGCAGGGGTGAGCGCTGTGTCCTCCTGTCCCTTGTCCCCAGGCTACCCCGATGAGCAAGGGCTTGGGGCTGGCACTGAGTGCAGCTAGGCCACCTGCCACCTGTGACACCACATCCCATGTGGAAACGCCCCTGGCAGACCCACCTCCCCCTTCCCCATCCCCATCCCTGCTCATGGCCCTGGGGAGGCAGGGAGCATGGCCTGGGGCACCTGCGGGGAGAGCAGCAGGGACTCCTGGCTCTGGCCCTGCCTGGCCCAGCCCAGGGCTCCTGGCCATGGAGGAGGGAAGCACAGGATACAAGATACAAGCTGGCTCTCCCTCTTGCCTCTCTCTTCCTCTCTCTCTGCCTCTCATTGCTTTCCCTGCCTGAGAAAGCCTTGCCTGGGATGGCAGGGTGGGTCCCCTCTGAGCTCACAGTGTCCAGGAGCCCTGCTGTGCCTGGGCTGCGGCTCAGGGCCATGGGCTGGCTCTCCTGCAGCTGTGCCTCTGGCTGCTGCCTGGCCCTGCACTCCCCTCTGCTGCGGGAGCCTGGATTGTGGTGGCCAGCAGGCAGGAGGAGTAAGTGGGTGACCCTGCTCCCTGCACCCCTGCACAGCTGGCCAGGAGAGGTCTCAACGTGGTGCTCATCAGTCGGAGCCTGAGCAAGTTGGAGCAGGAGGCCAAGGAGATTGGTGAGAGCCAGGGTCTCCCCGGGGCCGGGCAGGGCTGGAGGCCAGTGGGGCCAGTGTGCAGGCTGTGGCCAGCTGAGGGCCTGGCCTGCTCGCTTACCCCTTGCCAGAGCGGCTGCATGGCCGGCAGACTCGAGTCATCCAGGCTGACTTCACCCGGGGCATGGAGATCTATGCGGACATCGAGGCGGGACTGCAGGACCTGGACATAGGAGTGCTGGGTGCGCAGCCAGGCCGGCTCGCCCTCCCCTGCCTGCTCCCCTGTCTGCGGCCACCAGCGCTGTCCGCTGACCCCTCTGTCCTCTCCCCGCCTAGTGAACAACGTGGGCATGGCTTATGCGGGCAGAAAGCTGAAGAGGGTTCTGGAGTGGGAGGACCCTGGACAAGTAAGTGAAGCCTTGCTGGGAGGCCTGCACTGCTCGCCAACTCTGTGCTGCCCTCTGTCGGAACGCAGGCACCTCGCGGCTGCTGGCAGGTGCCTGCTGTCCTGCTGCCCACTGCCCATGGCGCCCTTCACCACCTTCCCTGCCCTGTGGTGCCGGCTTTACAGAATGACCCCGGGGGGGGGGGCGGGGGTCTACGGGCCTGGCGCTTCAGACACCCACGTGCCCTCCCCACGATGGGAGAGCGTGGGTTCTGGCCCAGCTCTGCCTGCTGACCCCCACTTCCCGCTAATGGCAGCCTCAGGGGCAGCAGTATGGCTCAAGGGGTCCTGCCACCTGCGTGGGATTCCTGCACTCAGCGCCCCATCCTGACCACTGCTGGGACTGCAGGCACACAGCAGTCATAGCATCTCTCTCTTTCTCTCTCCCTTTCTCTCTCTAGCTCATCTCTATTTTTCTCGATTGCTTTTCTGCCTTTTACATGATTACTTTTTAAACCAATTCTGCCCTGGGAAATCCCTCCTTCCATCTAGAGCATGTGGCTGTTCCGCGCTCTTTGGGCTGTGCTTGGTCAGGGCTCACCTGCCGGGCTCTCTGTGTGGACACTCGGTAATCGGCCCGCACTGTCTTTTCGCGGCTCCTGTGCCAAAAGAATTCACTCGTGCATAGGAGAGTCAGTGCTGGACCTTGAGCTAATGCCTGTGCTCCTCTCTTTGTAAGAAGAAGTCTTTCATTGGGAAGGCAGAGTGACAGAGAAGGAGGCACAGTGGGACAGAGGAGTCTGAGTGCCAGGCTCTGCCCACATGGCGGCTGGCCACACCACGGCCAAGCTAGGCTGCAGTCCTGAGCCAGGAGCACCCTCAGGTCCCTACACTGCAGCATGGCCTCAAGCACCTGAGCTGGCATTTGCCACTTCCCAGGGTGTTCCCAGGCAGCTGCATGGGAGTGCATTTCCTGTGTTAACACTGCAAACGGTTGTAGTGCATTGCTGTGCAGCGGGGAGCCCCGAGTCCTGCAAGTGTCCAGTGGGACCCCAGAGTCCTGCCAGCATTGATCCCAACAGCTGGTTGCACCTCACGGATGGCTGCCCAGGAGGACGGCCCTCCCGGAGCTCCTGCCCAACACCTTGGCTCGTAAAGATTGAGTTATTGACGTTTAAAAGGCAGGTTCCAGGAAAGGAGAGACACGGAAGGCGCTGCTAGAGAATCTGGTGCTTGTAAAGGGGAGGATTTGCCATGTGGCCGCTGTGCCTGGCACAAGTAAGTTCTTGTTGAAGCATGTTTGAGTAGCCAGGCCAGCAGCCTAGTGGTTCAATCCTTGCCTGGCATCAGCCGGGCTTCCACAGGGGCACCAGTTTGTGTCCCAGCAGCTCCACTTGGCATCCAGCTCCTTGCTTGTGGCCTGGGCAACAGGGAAGGATGGCCCAAAGCCTTGGGACCCTGCACCAGCGTGGGAGACCCAGAAAAGCTCTGGCTGAGCAATGTACTAATCCTCCGCTTGCCTTCACGGCTTCCCATTAGGGCACCTGCTTGCTTCCTGGCTGTTGCACTTCCATTCTGTTGTGGCTGTTTGTGGAAGTGAGCCAGTGGATGCAGGGTCTCTTTTGCTGTTGCTCCTTCCATCTGTAGCTATTCCGTACAGGGAGAAAGAAACACACAACATAAAATTGAAAGTGCACGAGCAAGGTGCCTTATGGGGAAATTGTGCATGCATTTTCACAATTATGTTACCCGAGGAAGCTCCTCTTTTAGTTCCATTGTTCCCTGAGTGTTTGTGAGGCTAGCTCATGGGCAAGGAGCCAGGAAGGGGAAGGTTCCAGAAGCAGAGCTGAGGGTGAGCAGGCGCCTGCGCCTTCTGTCCCAGTGGGTGCTCTTTTACGGGACATGGGTGCTGGCTGTTGCAGTAGCTGCTTGAGGCCAGACTGAGCACAGGTGGGAGCCCAGGGGCCTGCGCAGGGAGGGGTGAACTGCTCTCCTCTCCTCTCTTCTGCTTCAGAGCATGACGGACCTGGTGAACTGCAACATTATGTCAGTGATCCAGGTAAGGGGGCCGGGCCCGGGCACACAGGGCAGAGGGCGGGGGAGGTTGGTAGGGGCTGGGGAGAGTGGGAGGGGTTGGGGAGGAGGGCTGGGGAGGAGGGCTGGGGAGGAGGGCTGGGGAGGAGGGCTGGGGAGGAGGGTTGGGGAGCAGGGCTGGGGAGGAGGGCTGGGGAGGAGGGCTGGGGAGGAGTGCTGGGACAAGCCTCTGCCGCCCTTGTCCACAGATGACCCGCATCGTCCTGCCCCGCATGGTCACCAGGTAGGAATGAGGACCTTTCCCGGGCTACGTCCCTGCCCCCACGCACAGGTCCCACCTGTGTTTTTGCAGAGTTGGGGTGCCCTCCCCTCTCCCCACTGGCTGCTGCTCCCCACGCAGGCGCAGAGGCGTCATCATCAACCTCTCCTCGGTGGCCAGCTTGCGTAGCATCCCACTTTGTAACATGTATGCTGCATCCAAGGTGTGCATGTGTGCCCAGCCTGGGTTTCTTATTGTTATGAGAGAGAAGAGGTGACTGGAGTGCTGGGAAGACATGGATGGGAGCGGGTCCTGCTGGGGGCTGAGAGCAGGTGCACGGAGGAGTGGAGGTGTGGGACACAGGGGCCTCAGGCAGGCAGGGGAGGTGCTGGCCTCGGTAGTCACACAGTGTCCTAGGAGCAGGCAGGGCTAGGGCCAGGGTGGGCTGGCAGGCCATCCCTGCCCCTGCCCTGGGGGAGGCTCTGGCTCCTGGCACCGTCTCTGTCCTCCTCCCCAGGCCTTCGTGCGAAGCTTCTCCAACGCCTTGGCCACAGAGTACCGGCCCTATGGCATCACCGTGCAGGTGCGGACTTGGAGGGGTGAGGGGGCTCTCGAAGGAAGGGGTGCGAGGGGGTGAATGAGAAAGGGGTTCCCAGGGGATTCCCACAGGCTCTGTGTCCTGAGGGAAGCAGGGTGTCGGGAAGGGTCTTGCACTGGAGTGTCTCTGGTGTCTGGGCAGGAAGGTGTACGGCACGGGGAATGAACACAGCCCTGGCTTCCCCTCTTCCATTCCCATAGACCGTGACTCCTGCTATCGTTGCCACGAATATGACCACTGGCTTCAAACCCGGACTCCTGGTCATGCGGTCTGAAGACTTTGCCCGGGACGCGCTGGACACCGTGGGCCTGTCGTCTGACGTCTCTGGCTGCCTGAGCCATGCCCTGCAGGTGCCGCAGTGTGGCGGGTGGCAGGTGGCGGGTGGCAGGGTGTTCTGGCCAGGTGGAAGGGGAGTGGTCCAGAGGAGGGGAGAGGCCGAGGAGGCGCAGCACAAAGAGCTGACCCAGCTCCTGTCCTCTCCAGGTTAGCCTGATGACTTTCCTCGTGCCCCAGTGGCTTCTACACACTCAGGGGGGAAGCCAGCTTTTCTTTCGGAATGTAGACAGATTAAAGGAAGACAACATGTGAGCAAGTGCCATGAGACTTCGCTGTTCTGGAAAGCTGGGCTGGTGTGGGCCGTGCTCCCAGAGGCCTCTCCTACATGGGCACAGACGAGGCAGCCCACGCCGCTCAGCCCTCTAGCACCAAGCTGTGTGCTGACCCCGGGAGCCAGCAGGGAAACTCAGTAAATACATGTACCTCACCGGACACGCCTACTTCCTTTGTGTTGCCTACTGTCAACTATGAATTTTCTGCTCTGTGAGTTACATCACAATCACAATCTCTATGTATGAAGAGTAGGAACCACTCCATCCTTCCAAAGTGCACAAGGCATTCAGAGAGCTTGAGCTCAGGGCTGGCATTGGGGCACGGCTGGCTCTGCCGTCCTGGACTGCAGTACCAGTGTGAGCACCGCCTGCTGTGCTCTGGTCCAGCTCCCTACCTGTGCCCCTGGGATGGCCACCGAGGATGGCTCAAGTACCTGGGTCCCCTGTCCCTCACGGGGCAAGCCAGATGGAGGTCCTGCCCGTGCCTGGGCCTGTGGCTGCCATCAGGGAGTGAGCCAGCACCTGGAACATCTTTCTCTGTTTTCCCCACCTTCTATCCCTCTGCCTTACAAATGAATTAATCATTGTGAAGCTCCTGGGGAATTGGGATGAGGAGGTGTTTATTTGGCGCCCAGACCTGTGGGATCCTTGCACAGGCTTTCATAGGACGTGTTTTCCATGAAGTGTTGGAAGAGCCTGGTGTGGAGACTGCATCCACTCCTCACAGCAGCAGCAGGATCAGCCCAGAATGAACCACACATCCTCATGTCAGAACCTGAATGGGTGTGGGACAGGCTGGGCCAGGTGGCGTCCTCCAGTGGTCACATGAGAGCTGGGTCTGGGTGTTTTTCCAGGTGGGACTGCGCTGTAGCACCCAGAGGTGAGAGCCAGCATTGTTGTGGGCTAGGTCACAGTACCATGCAGTGAGTGCCAGGACTGGGGCGCTGGCCTGAGAGTTGGTAGCAGCACCTGCTGGCACATGTGAGATGCAATGGTGGGAGCAGGGCTGGTAAGGCAACTGGGAATCTCTCGTGCTGGGCAGCTGTTTCCACTGGTGATAAATGGCTGGACTCTGGCAGGATGGTCTGTCAGCAGCCTTGCCTAGGCTAGGAATTTGGAGTTGCTGGCAGAGGCTTAATGTGTTATTCCACCACCTGTCATCTCGTAATGACGACCATGTTGGTGTGCTCTTCTTGTAGTTCTTCACACAGGTGTCCAACGGAAGGTTGTTGATGCTGAGACGGTTTTAAATTCTAATATATAACTTTTTTCAGAACATAGGGCCGTCGTTTGGGTAGCAACCCATTGGACCCATATGTGTGATGCCATTCCGATAAGAACTCCTTCTAGCCACAACTCTAGAAGTAGATCGGGGGTCAGGGGCAGGAAACGGATTTCCAAGCCACTGGATCAAGTTTGGCCATGGCCATCTCCGAAGTGGCATACCCGATGCGATTGGGCTGGTGTGCCCAGGCCCGGCTGTACTAGGAGGGGCCATGGATACACCAACTGCAAGCCAAGGGCGTGTCCCTCACACACTTTAACGGGTGTCCTTCAACTTGAGGTGCCATGAGAGCGGAACACCAAATCCAGGATTCACTCCTTATGCTCATTCTTGGCATAGGAATTCCTGGAATTCCTGGAACGTCGGTTAGGACACATGAACATCAGCCACCGGAGGAACCCACAGTGTGAGCAGCATAGCCTGGCCACACTACATTGTTCCAACAGGCTCAGGGTCCGGGCCAGTGGGGCTGCTGCACTCTGCCCTCTCTGCAACACCCACAGAGAGACTACCCAGAGTGTGTGTCCCAACCTGCAGGATTGACACTCAAACCCTGAGCGTGGACTGGGAATGCTAGGCTGCTAGGCCCCCGGGCTGCTGGCCCAAGAAACACACGGACACGTACTTGGTGAAAGAGTGCCCATGCCCTTTATTTCACTCCTCACATATATACCTTCTTCTCTAGGGGAGGAGAAGCGGAGGGTTTTCCTGGAACTAATCAGCTTCATTGAAACAGGGGAGGACCTAGTCATCTGAACAGGAACAAGGTGGAGGTTCTGTTCTGCTTGCTTTGCACAGGATGGACTGGCCGCATGTCCTGCTTGCTGTGGCCCTGCTTGCACAAAGTAGGTTTTGTAATGCAGCAGGTTGTCAGGTATGCCATGTCTGAGGTCCGTAAGTCTGTGGCTCCTCTCAAGGGGGCAGGCCGGCCTGGCACCATGACCACTCCAGCCTCACACTGTTACACCTCACAAGCCTGTGTGGGGGTTGAGGGGTTCCGTGGTCTCTTGTCAGCATCCCATATTGGAACACCACCTCAGTCCTGGCTTCTCTGCCCGGGTCCAGCTTGCTCTAGAGGGCCTGGCAGCGCCCAGGAGGACAGCCCGGACGTGGTCCTGCCACCCACATGGGAGGCCCTGATGGAGCTGCCGACTCCTGGCTCAGGTCTAGCCCAGCCCTGGCTGCTGTGAGCATCTGGGGAGAGAACTGGCCGACAGAGGATCTCTCTCTCTCTCTGCCTTTTCAATAAAGTATTTGGGAAATAAATGAGGCCTGATGTAGACTGGGACCATTTATTTAAGGATTTGTTTATTCTTGTTGAAAGTCAGGATAACAGAGAATGAGATCTTGCATTGGCTGAGGCACTCCGCACATGGCCGCTACTGTCAGAGTTGCTTTGTTCTGAAGGCAGGAGTTCCTTCCGGGCAGGGCAAGGCAGGAGCCCAGCACTTCAGGAGGGAGTGGGTCATAGTCCACACGGCTCCGGGTTTGGGGCCAGCCACAGGGTAAGATAAATGCTGGAGTTCTCCTTCTGTGTGTGGAGGGGTGTTGGGTGGCCCCCACTCCTGCTCTGTCTGTGTCAGCTCACGCGGGTGTCGCCTTAGAGACCCCAGCAGGGGAAGCGTGACTTGAGGGCTTACTAGGAAGGGGTCGGCTTCCTTGCCCCTCAGGTTAGAGATTCTCTCTGTGGCCCAGGGGCCCCCACTCCGGGACCCCCACTCGGGCAGCAGCATGTCCGCACAGCAAAGGTGTGGCTGTAACCTGGCCCGAGCGCCATCCCTCCTCCTCTCCTCTCCGGAGGGGTGCTCCAGGGCTGTGTGGGCTCAGGGCAGCGGCTTCCTGGGCCTCTGGGCCTGTGCTGTGTGGCTTGGGCGGCAGCAGCCCAGGAGGCCTAGGCCTGCACAGGACTCCAGGGCAGACCGCATGCAGCCGGCACCTTCAGGGCCGTGTGGGGGAGCAGCGGCGTGCTGTGTCCTGCAGCTCAGGGCGCAAACCCTGCCCACCGCGGCAGAGGAGGCCTGATGGCGTTTCTGTCCCTGCCAGTGGCTGCATCACCTGGGTGGTCATCCTTTCCCTGAGGAGCTGAACTCTCAACCTGACTAGTGGATGAATCATTGGAGCGAAACGGGAAGGGGAATTGCAAAGTGGAATGCTCTTAAAAACATAAAGAAGAGAAGTGAGGCCCTACCGCGGGTCCAGTCCCACCGTCACAGCAGTGACAGGAGGGGTGCTCGGTCCAGGAATCCCGCTCAGTCTCAGGATCCCTTGAGCTACCAGCACGCCTCCAGGAGGAAGCTCAGCTCAGGAGCCAGAGCTGGGCCGGAACCCACACACTCCCGTGGGGCAGGGCACATGGGCGTTGGAAGTGCCAGGCCCGTCGCCCTGCCCCGGGGGTCATTCTGAGAGAGGAGTTAGAGCAGTTAGGGTATTCCGGGTCCCCAAGTCATCATTTTTTCCCAAACATAAAGGGGGTATTTTCATGACCATGTCTTGGATTCACCAAGCACATCCCTCCCGAGACAAGTGCGTATTTTAACATATCAGGAACACGCTTCCCCAAGAGACAAGGACAACATGAATTCCCCACCTGAAGTCTCAGCCCGATTCTGTCTCAGGGCATTGCCATGGCGGGGGGAGGGGGACCTCAGACTAGTCTTTTAGCTCCTGAGGCAGCAGCCATTTGGGAGTGAACCAGCAGGTGGAATGATTTTTCTCTCTGTCTTGACTTTCCTCTGTAAATCTAATTCTGAAACAAACAAAATTTTTAAAGTTCTTCAAAACCAAACAAAAAGGCAGGCCTGTATGATAACATAGTGGCTAAAGTCCTTGCCTTGCAAATGCCAGGTTCCTATAGAATCACTGGTAATAGTTGTGGTGACCCTGCTCCCACCCAGCTCCCTACCTGTGACCAGGGAAAGCAGTCGAGGACCTTCCAAAGCCTTGGGACCCTGCAACTGCAGGAGGGAGACCCAGAAGAAGCTCCAGGCTCCTGCCTTCAGATTGCCAGAGCACCAGCCATTGCAGCTGCTTGGACAAAAAATAAACAAATGCAAGATCTTCCTCTCTGTCTCTCCTCTTTATCTATGACAATGTCCAATAAAATAAATCAATACTTTTTTAAAAAATGAAAAAATGCAACAGTTTCAATGCCTTGTGAATTTTGCACAGAAGGTATGGTTCCTATATTTAATACATAGAGATTGAGATTGTGATGTAACTCACAGAGCAGAAAATTCATACTTCACAGAAGGCAACACGAAGGAACTAGGTCCGGTCTGGTTAGCTACATTTATTTACTGATTTTGCCTGAGAAGCGTAGCAGAAGTGAGCACACACCTTGGTGCTAGAGGGCTGAGCGGCGTGGGCTGCCTCGTCTGTGCCCATGTGGGAGAGGCCTCTGGGAGCACGGCCCACACCAGCCCAGCTTTCCAGAGCGGCGATGTCTCATGGCACCTGCTCACATGTTTTCTTCACAACTTGTTAAAGCTTTGCATGAGAAGCTGGCTTCCCCACTGAGTGTGCAGAAGCCACTGGGGCATGAGGAAAGGCATCGTGCAAACCTGGAGAGGACAGGAGCCGGGTCAGCTCTTTGTGCTGCGCCTCCTCGGCCTCTCCCCTCCTCTGGACCACTCCCCTTCCACCTGGCCAGAGCACCCTGCCACCCACCACCTGCCACATTGCGGCACCTGCAGGGC